TTAAACCTCTCGCTTCAGTTATTCTCTATATATCTATCTTCTGAAGTTGCCCCCTTTTTAACCAGCTTTTAAGTCCAATTATAACTCTTAAAACTTCATTTGAACCGAATAAAAATCTGTTTTTTATTTGAATGTTGTTGTTAGCATGAGGTTTTTTAAAGCTTCTACTTAAATAAAGATAAAAACCACAACGTTATATAAAACAAAAGATCAATAAACAAACAACCGCTTGGTCTTGAGGTGCAGTTTTGTGTAATGATTGGACGTTTCTCTCCCTTTTTAACCAGCACTTAAGTTCAATATTAACTCTTAAAACGTAATATTAACCAAATAAGAACGAGCTTAGACGACTCAGTTATTTCACTCTAATATGAACTCATAAAACCTTATTTTCACTCAATTAAAATCAGTTTTTTTATACAGAATTAGCCAATTTCATACTTATTTCAATCAAAAACTTGACTTTAAGTTGTTGCTGTGGAATGTCAACTAAACAAACATCCTATATGAACAAAATAAGGAGAATTTCAACAGTTATGTTTCTCCTGGGAAGATGGGGGAGGCGTCCTCCTCTCGCTTCACTTCTTCTTCTCTCTCTCTGTATATCTCGTGAAGCGGCTCCTCTCTAAAATGCTTCTTTAGGTTGAATGCAAAGAGGCGCTCAGGGCCGTTAGAAAGGTTTGTTAAGTTCCCGCAGAATGAAACTAATGATAATGGAGCATGCAAGCTGTTGTAGAAACACTCCTTAATGGATTACTTAAGCGAGCAATTAGCGGTACACTAGCAGCCAGATATCAGCCTCTGAATGGAGTCAAATATGTGTCGCTGTAATGCCGCCACTGCGTGACAATTACTCTTGTTAATAGATTGATGTAAACTGCTTTGGACCGAGGCGTTCACGAGGGAAGTCTGCTCTCTGTGACGCTGCGGAAGGTTTAATCCTGTCCCCAAATAACTCGACTGAAACACTCGGTGAGATTTGTATTATATATTTTCTGCACCTGAAATGTTTCGTCCTTCATAACTGAATGCAATGAACGACACACAAGAACAACGCCATGACAATTATATTAAAATAAATGATTAAATACAAAATATATCAATTTCCCTTGAATAAAAGTAAATACAGTTAATACAAATTAAAGGGTAAAATGGTAAGGGAAATAATGAAAGTTAAAAGTAAAAAGTAATAACAGTAAAAATAATTATAGAAAATAAAACCAATAATGAAAATATTGTTAAAACAATTCAATTGAAATAATAAAGAACTCACTTTTATTTGTGTATTATATTAATACAAATGTACGGTTGATTATCAATGATAAATGCAGTAAACACATGTTGTAGTTAGCATTTAATGAAACATGAATTCAGAGGCAAGCCCTCCTGAAAGTCTCTGAAGCTGAATCTAAAGCGATTCAAGGATTAAAGGAAGCGTCCTGCACATGTGAAGCTTTCCCTTAAGGTCCGCTTGCTGAGGGATAACTTTGCAATTCAGAAAATGTGGCCGGTGCGTGGCCCTCGGGGGCCAAAAGCCTTTGTGGTCACAGGACCAGGATTACACTTTAACCCCCCCCCCAAATCCAGGGCCTGGGGTCAGGTGAAAGGCCAGGGATCTCAAACAGGGAGGAAGAGGAGGGAGAATTACATCTTGAAATCATCCAGAAATGCAGGTTCCCCCTCTAAAGATGCTTTGTTCCTCAGACATCAGAGCACGCAGGGTCTCTATGCACACATATCCTTTCAAGTAAGTGTAAAGATCTGGGTTTTCTACCTTGAAGCAGTCTCCAGAGGATATGAAGAAAGGCAGAAATGGATTGAAATGCGGACCTTTCATGTGACGTGCGACCGTTAATCAGAATGAAAGGTGTTCCCGTCACTGAAGCCGCTTCAATGAGCTTTTGATTTGCTTGTAAAACAATCGCAAAAAATGTCAGTTAAAGGGAATACAGGCGAATTACAGTTAAAGTGAATCCACCGTGTGTCTCTACCTATTGTTCAGGAAGCGCTGACGCCATTAGATTTCAATCTGACAGGAAGTTGAATAGGTTTTTATCCAATGAACGACTCATCAACAGTCGTAATGAGTTTATCTCGAGGACTAATTTCTTGTCTCTTTCTCTTGATTTTATTCCTCTACAAATGAGGTGTGTGTGTGTGTGTGTGTGTGTGTGTGTGTTGTGAATTTCCCATTCACAAGTCAATAACTATGCATGTAGAGAGCATTTACCACCATGATAGATTTGATAATGTTTCCTCTGGGATCTTCTCTCATGGTCGACCAAAATGGAAAAACAACATCCATGACAGTCTACAAACAGAGAATGTTACTCTCTATTTGTTTAGATAATTGCTTATTTGTTGGGGAGATATCATTTCCTGCTTGATCAGCAGAGCACGACTTTGCTTCCCCCCCCCCCCCCCTTAATAAAGTAAAAAAGCTGCTTTTTAACTTCAACTGGGTTTAATCTGCAGGAATTCATTATTAGCACCGCTGTCCTGATTCTCAGCTGCACTTTCTTCTTCTCTAAGATATCTACCTCCTTGGGATTAATCCTTAAAAGTATTTTTGATTCTGGAATTGCTTTAAACTATTGAATCCTGAGCTTCGCCTTAAATGTCCCTAGAAGTTGACAAAACACTTCTTTCCTCATCATTGGTCCAAAGAAATTAAATGACCCAATGTGTCTGTTTTAATGCCGCACCATAACATCTTCGTTTTGTATTTCTTTGTGTAATACATTTTCGAAACCAGAAACTGCACACGATTGCCTTGTCTCTTAACAGCTTTATTATGGTTATGGTGACGGTCTTATATCACTCTGATCTGGCAAATAAATATGCGTATCTGGCTCCACTGTCAGATGTAACGCTCAGGGTTTTTTCTCTCTCTCTCTCTCTGCATTCTCTAGTTCTTAATATTGTATGACAGCTGACGTGCTAAGCATGTTAAATCTGGCAAAAGCACATACTGACATCATACGGTCCAGTGGCCCTGCGGTCAGCAGCGTTTGTTGTTGCGCGGCTGAGGGAGGATAGAGTACACTCAAGGCTCCATTTGTATAAATCCCTCTGTTTTAACTTGTGTCATTGTTCACTGAAAGATTACAAGGCTAGCCCTGTTTGATGGTCCTTCCCGTCCTCACGGTTTCCCAATGATATCCTCAGATGTTACTTGAAAATATTACGAATTGATATTAATTATAGGCTCAACGGAAACGTTTTGAAACAATTGTTCAGGTTTATAAGTGCTTGTTGATTTATAGTGCAATTTCCTTGAAAGAACCACTCAAGAAGTCTAATTCAATATATAATATTTATTTATATTACTTTATATTTTCGGAATGTTGAATGTTATGCACGCCTTCTTTTATGTCATCATTCCTCTCTTCTTCCTCTGTTGCTCTGGCTTATTATAAATCAACTCAACACTTTTAGAGGATAGATATTATAAAGCAGGGATATTAAAGATGATATCATATTTAGATATTCATATTGTGGCCAGCATAACACCAGCCGGTCACATCATCTGCCCGTCGCCAAGCAGCGCTAGTTATAGTCGTAACACCCTGCCATCTGTAAGAGTGGGTCTTTTGAATGTTCTCACGTTTGTCTCACAAAGTGATCAACTATGGGTTAAAGCTGCACTTAATTTACATTCCCATTGCTGACATGTACCTGACCCAAACAAAGTATAGGTCAGTGCTCTCATACTATTAGCCATCATTGTGTAAAACACCTCACTTCTGGCTAACTCCAGGCTTCTTTTTATTTTTTAACTGGACTCCACTCTGTTTTTCTCATGTGATAACCCTAGATTATTCATTTCTACATATTTGACTCGCACTGTACTTTAAATTGTGATTTAAAACGGCAACTTCAAATAGTAGCTTGTGTTTATATTAATTTAGCAGTTGGTTGGTCAATTATAGTGCATACTAACATATTATGTCCATTTTATTATGTGCATTTGATAGTGTTACCATTGATGTATATCTGTCTACTGTTTATGAACTGTTTATTTTCGATTTTATTTGTAACTCTTTTGCAATGCCTTGTTTACATGCTGCTAGTAACAAAACAATTTCCCATTTTGGGATCATAAAAGTACCGTACATCTAATATTAGGTGACCTTTTCAGAGAGGAAAGAGGCTAAGAAATTCTAAGACTTGGAAGAAGTCAATCTAGAAAATGTCTTCAGCAAGTATTCTTTATAATTTTTTTTCTATATAAAACAATCAGTAATGATTTTCATAAGAAGCTCAGTAGAACATTGTCAGCGGTCTGCAGCGCTCTGTGGGCGTTTCAGGCTGTCGGTGCTGTTTGTCCCTGTGGAGCCGCAGCCAGAGCTGGACAGTGACAGATGGCCGTGTGACTGAAAGAGACGTAAAACCCACAGAGAATGTGCTGTTTCTGTCAGTGTGAGGAGGGGGAAATGGAGCGAGAGTAACAGGTTAGGGCAGTTGTAGAGCTGGATGGAGAGAATGAAAGTATGCACATATTGTGAGTGTGAGTATTTGTGTGTCACTACTGCAATCAATTGTCAAGGCTTAAAGATCAACTCCACATTGTTTCAACTTTAACTGAGCAAAGTCAATTCTGTTTATATGGCTAAAATTATGTATCAGTTTTTTGTATCTCTAGACTAGAGAAACCGTAACTTGAATCCGAGTCATAGTAATTATGAAATCAACTTTCCATTGAAAACATCCCAGGCAACTCTTCGCAGTATGTTGTTTAGTTAGCCGTGTTGTTAAAGCTGGTTGGCTAGTTTAGCTGGCTGTCACTTTAATTGAACAGAACCTTTTTTAAACTCCTCTTGAGGCTAAATGAGCTGCTACTAGCATAACACATCAGAAACGATTACCGAAGCTGTTGAGATGCATTGTGGGGAGTCAGCCGCCAAGTGACTACACGTTGAAGAATATATGGAATTACATTTTGTATCCATCATTTTTAGTTACATCATTTGTTAGTGGCTGTATATAAGTGCTGCCTTTTGTAGGCTTCCTAAGTGAAATGTCACCAAAACACATTATCTGTTGCACAACATTTCTAGTGCCTATGTTAATCCCGTTTTCTTTTTTTCTCTCAGGATGGAAAGACAGCAGAGGATTTGGCTCATGCTGACCAACATGAACTCATCGTTTCTCTATTGGGAAAGCTTAAAAAGGTAATATAAGATGTATTCTTGAAATGTTATGGGGGGGAGAGAGAACTCTGTATGATTCAAAACCCAGTTTCACAAATACTCGTCACTCTTTTTGTGTACCAGTGCAGCGACATCTGCAACAGAGGGGTGCCAGACTCTAGCATCGTCCCATTTGTAGACATTTTGTAGCAGCACTTTTCCCAACACAAGCGGGTAGAATAGATTATAAAATAAAACAGTATGAAACTGGTTTCTAATTTTAAATAATCAGATACCAGTGATGTTGATTGATTCTAATGTAGTCAGTCCTGAGACCTCAATAGAAATTGTGTTTTTGGAAATATTCTAGTGTTAAACTCAAGTGAGATTTCCTATGGCCATATTTATGGTTATATATTCATGTTACAGCTATACAGCAAACATTTGAGGCAAGAGATAGGCAATGCAATAAGTGATTGTTGATTCATATTTGATCTGTTCTGGCTAGTTGGACAAGAGGTGTGATTGACATTCTGCTAGAGACTTTCAGAAGAGCACTTGGGGAAGCGCAGAGGAATATCATTTTTTTAAAGATAAAAAGTCATATATATAAAAGTCAGCAACTGAACTCAAGCCCTATCTGTTTGCACCAGTTCAATCAATTTGTTTGCGTGCTTAGAGCCAAAAATTCCCTTCCATTTTCCCAGAAAACCTGTGAAGATTTGCTGTGTGAAAATGTGACAGCAGCAACTGTGAAAAAGTCAGCCTGTGCATATGCTTGGCTAAATTAAGACACTTTGGCGCTTTAGAGCGAATTTTCTCTTCCCAAGAACCAAGGGATGAAAAAGAAAAGACTGTTCTCTTCCTGTGACACTTACAGAAAAAACGTATACGAAGTTGTATTCTGCTATTAGTGAATCAAACTGAACACACAATGAAATTAAAACTTTATTTATTGAATGTGTTAACACGACCCAGGTGGGAGTAGGCAGTGCTTTTCATATCCCACGCTACCACTCACACTGTTCGAGGCCACTTCTGATATATGACTCATCTATTGCATGGGTAAAAAGAAGTGTCTTTGATGTTAACAAATATTATCTGTTGAATTGGCAGAGTTACAGAAAATAGCTTGCGTTGTTTATATACAGTGTGTTTTATTTTTTGACACGGATAAACTTAGATTAGTGTTCTGATCCGAATGATATTTAAGAGGATCAACCCCAAAAGGGAGTGTTATTCAAAGTAGAAAAATAGATAAATCGCTGTGGATGATTTATACTTACCTATTGTTACTGTTGCATTTCAGCTATGTGACAAGCATAACAAACAACGGACAGATCCCCCTATGTGTGCTGTTTTATTTTTCTAATGTCATGTACAGGGTTATGGTTCAATTACATTTTAAAGGGGGCCTATTATGTTTTTTTGGGTTTCTCTTTCTTGTAGTGTGTTATGTGTTTTTGTGCATGTAAATGGTCTGCAAAGGCTAAAATCCCAAAGTTCCCTCCAGAGGGAGTTTCTCTCCCACACAGTTGTTGTTCCTCTATGCCCATTATTAGTTTCTCTGGTTTTACTGTTTATAGGTATGTGTTTGAGTTAAATAAATTAAAAAGTGTCTTCTATAAACTACTGACAACATTTCTCTGTGTTGGAATCAAACAGACACTGGAATGGCTGCCATACATGTAGAGATTGAGATTTAAGAACACATGGGAGTGTATAGTTGTATATTGGATTGACTCCAAATTACATTTTTAAAAGTCTGTAGTATCAAGTAAAAGCTTGATCATGCTACAGTGTGTCTGTTTTTCTCAAAAACACAGTACGATGTGGAACAAAAGGGGATAAATTGAAGATGTGTGGAGTTGCTTAATATGAAAACATGTGGGAGTCCATGTCATACAGTAGATCAGGGGTTCCCAAACTTTTCAGCCCGCGACCCCCAAAATAACGTCGCCAGAGACTGGCGACCCCCTGTCATACATTTTTTTTTTAAAAAGATTAATCAATTTTTTTTATAATTTTTTTTTAATTTTAATTTTCCATTTTAATTTTGTAATCATCGCGACCCCCACTTTGGGAACCCCTGCAGTAGATAATGTGTTTCTTAATGTGACCTCAAATGTCAGTGGGTTTTAAATGATTTATTTTCTTCTTATTTGGGGGTCAGGACAACCACAAGCTAAGCTACATCCAGCAGCTGCGGCCCACTCAGACCGTGCAGCCCAGGATCAAGCTGAAGCTGTTCGGAAACTCCGGAGCCGGGAAGAGCACTCTGTTGGAGTCTCTGAAATGTGGCATCCTGCGCAGCTTCTTCAGGAGGAAGAGGACACGCATGACCAATACAAACCGCCACCCAAACTCCCCGGTCCACTCCAAACCTGCCGGTAGGTGACCACCCGCTCCGCTGAAGCTGGGATAATCCCTCACAAGATTAAGACCCCGTTTACACGAGAACAAAACGGGTTGGATCCGCATAGTTTCTCTTGCGTATAGCCCTTTCATTTACACGAGGCCGTGACAAAACGATAGAAACGGACCCCACAAACGATAACGGGTCCCAAGATGGATAGATTTGCAAACGAACGCTCTGGGGGGTCAAACGGCTCTGTGTAATCGCCTCTATACAATCATTTCCCGATAGATGAAGCCATAGCCCCGCCTCTCCCCACCTCTGCTGCTCACTGCTGTAGCATGGTCAGTAGCTACTGCTAGTGCTACTGCTACTGACTGACCATGCTACAGATGTTAGTACAACATCTACAGCTCGACCATGCATGCTACAGATGTTAGTGCAAAATCTACAGCTCGACCATGCATGCTACAGATGTTAGTGCAAAATCTACAGCTCCTCTGCCACAACCATCAGCAACAAGTGGACATGGAGAATTACATGAACTACTACATGTTGCTAAATCCACTGCGGGGCATAAACAGAAGGGCAACCATGCTCCGGGGTCTTCTTCGCTGCTTTTGGTGTATTTTGTGGCGGAAGTTACAGCGCCAGCTACAGGCCCGGCATATACATATACAGCGTGTCCAGCGCTTTCGAGCTGTCTCATGTGGAAGTACAGCGCCACTTACAGTCCCGGTAAGGCCGGATTAACCATATGGGCAACCTGGGCAAGTGCCCAGGGGCCCTTGAGTAACGAGGGCCCTCAGTGACAAGATAAAAAAAAAGATCTTTTAATTTTTTTTTCTCGGGCAAAACCTCTCATCATACGTTGTTTTAAATGACAGTCACTCTTCGCCATAAATAACACAGCTTTTCCATAGGGTCAAATTACTGTAGGTCTCTGCTGTAGGTCTCACTATGTATGCGCTCAACTTTATTACTACACGGCGGAGGTGTATAGCCAAATCACAGCCCCACCCTTGAGCAACCACACAATTTCACTACATATTTTACTTTTGTAACTCTCGGTGTTTGTGACAAATAGAACTCCTCGTGTACTTGTACAGCCAGCCAGTCATATTTTGGCATTAAGTGGGGTGCTGTTCTGAGGTTTTGATTGATATTACCTAGGTCTTCTTGAGCCATACACTGTCTTGAGATCTTATCCATTGTATCTTTGTCTTGTGATTTTTGACTGAAAGGGCAAAAGGCTAGACCTACTTTGGTTGAACTATGTGGCTCCGTCCCTGCTTTTGACAAATAGGTGTGCAATTTGACATGCCAGATTGACTGAAAATTCTAAATATTGGTCATGTTGGTAGGACTTGGGTAGGCGTGGGGTCTACTGTGGTACGGTGGCTTGGGGGGGAGCCCATGAGTGCCTCAGTGCCTGGGGCGCCCCTGGAGGTACTAATCCGGCCCTTTCGAGTCCCGGCATATGTACTACACGTTTCCAAGCGCTTCTCCCGTGTGACAGGACGACTTTCAAATGAAACACAGTTTGAGACGGAAGACTTTTTTGCAACGCATCCTCGTCGCATGAAACGATGAACTCGTGGACGCGCACCTAAGACTTCCACCTGGTCAGAGACTGGGATGATGCATCTGACCACAAACTCAGACATACTTTCATTCTACACCTGTTTTACTTAACACTGTACGCCCAGGTCCCCCCGCGGCGGGTAATTTTTTTTTAGCTGACCCACTTTAGCACAGAAACTCAACGATAAAAGATACCCTTATTAACTTATGTTAGCTGCGCATACAAAGATATCCGATTAAGCTGAGGTTCCCCCAGATTATTAGGCTGATATATAGGCTCATCACTAAGTGCATCCGAACTCGTTGACAGGGGAGCAACTCAGACATGCCCAACACCGTACCTTTACGCTAGCTTTTAGAGGAGATCGTCTCGGACCGTAGCTGCAACATCTGATTCAATGGCATTAAACGGAGAAAAACCTGCCGGCTGACCATCCGGTTAATCCATAGGGTTGAGTAATGTTTCTGGTAACTATTATTTTTTCTTACTAACCATAATCAATCTCACTATAATGTAAAAACAATCGGAAGTCGAAGCTAGCTGCTATGGAGCCACCAGAGTTATCCGCAGCATTCCGGTCTTGGTCTATGCGCAGGTCTCAACACACAACATTACCAAATAAGGGAATGTGGGAGTCCCCTCGGTTCCATTTGCGCGCTCACGGTTAGAAAGAGATGTCAATCAGCAAAAACGAACAAGGGGGGCCAGAGATAGGGTCAAGATCACCAAATGCCCCAGAAGTGGGTTGTTTTTGCTAAATCCATCTCATACAAACAGGGTCCAAATCCTTCACTTGTTTGCATCAATCTGATCCGGGTACTGTATTTGATTGTATTTTGATTCCGAAGTTTTTAGTCTACATCCCATCATTCAACGGGTGTCGTTTTCGTAAAGTATATGTTTAGTTTTGGACGGACACAATGAATTTAAATTTTTACGTGTCAATCCGAACTTACTTTTAAAAAAAAACATCAAAATTGTCTGAACTCGTACATCCAACTCAACAGGTCGTACCCTGCCCTGAGAAAAGATTATAAGAACCCTTTCAGAAGGGAAGATATGGTACATTCTGTCCTGGGATCGCTCCATTTCGAGCCTGAGAGCCTGAAAAACCAGGCTGCGGGCTTAACAGTTAGATGGTTTTTTCCCCTTTTCGAAATGTGCAAGTGATTTTGAATCTTGAAAAAAAGACGCACAACCTGTTTTTGCCACAGAGGAAGGGTACCAAAAACAAAAGCCCAAGAATTCCTTATTGCTTGTGGAAAAAAAAAAAAAAGGCCAAAACGGCTATGAGCCCAGTTTGCACGTGCGTTTCTGCNAGATATTTAGTGCCGTCCACAAAACACACAAACACACACTTGCACTTGCTTTGTTTCAATCCCTCTGTATCTGCACTCTATCTGCCCTCCCTCCCTCCCTCCCACACACACACACACACACACACACACACACACACACACACACACACACACACACACACACACACACACACACACACACACACACACACGGTGCTCACTGAGGTAATGCTCAGCTACGTGAGCCAGTGTAGTGTTACCCATCCCATCGTCTTTACTATCTGGAAATCTGGGGTTGAATGAGCGCGTTTTATCCCGTTCTTTGACTTCTAGCTGAACTGCTTGACGGTCTTTATTGACTCTTCAGCGGTCTGTGACGAGAGTCCACAGAGAAACACAGAGAAGCTGAGCTTGAACCAGTGGTTGAATTGGTGTCCATTCGTCTGATTGAAGGCTTCTTTTTAGAACTTGCATTTTGTGTCGCTGTCAGCCCGTCGAAAGTCTAGATGTGACCAATGCATGCATATTTACCTTCATCTAGTATCAATATCTGTAACTTTATGATGCCACTGGACAGAAAACTGCACTTGACATCTGAAACTATTCTGCACTCTGCATCAATCACTGGCCTTTGGTATTTGAGAGGCACTTTTATTCATTATCTGGACAGAAGAACTGTGAATGCAGCTTGATGTTCTTATTAATCAACCTTTCTTGTAAGACATTCAGTCCTGTCATAAAAAGAGGTGTAGACATACAGTATGTGCACCTTTGCATCCCTGAAGTCCAAACCTACGACTGGATGTCAGATGTTCTTATTACTGCGGCCTGACATTAAACCAGAAAACCAATTTAGGATCCTGTCCATTTTTCATGTACTGCAAAAAAAGTCACCCTTTTCCGTTGCCTTCTTATTTTTCCCTTTTTGGGGCGTTCCTTTTGTTTGTTTTTGTCATGTGACCAATGCAATAGTGCTATGAATTTCACAAGACCTTAACATGAACACATACTGCCCCCTCAACCTGATTTAGCAAGAGACCACACACTGATGTCGAAATCCAGCTGCTCCAGTTCCTCATGGCTGGAAATCTTTTGACTACAGGATTAACTTTGTATGGTGTCGGGTTATAAAACTGTATGAGTATACCCAAAAATACGTTTTTGATTTGTAGTTTAAAGCCATAGACAACAAACTGTAGGTGTGGCCCTACAGAGAGTGAAGGAAATCGAAATCCCTGCATCTTGAATTTATTCGCAAGTAAACAGCACCCCCGTGTGTTTGCAAATTGACAGTAGTGGATGCAGATCACTTTTCATCATAGTAGAGAGTAAAATTCATGAAGACATTTTTTCGACAGATAATAATTATCTGAAATATCTGAAAATAAAAGAGTTTTTCTCCCACACACCCTGCTCTCCTGCCTTAAACGTCCCCCTTTGATTACTTCAATAACATAGTGACATTACTATGTAACACTCGCCTCCAACACATTGTACATAATAGGCTAAGGACCAGGGTTATAATAAACCATAAAAGCATAATAGGGCCCCTTTAAGACATTTTAAAATATTTAAATCGTTTTGTATTTACCTGTATTGAATGTCACCAAGATATCATCTAAAATGAGATACAAAATGTGTCCATTGAAACAACTGATGAACAGTTTTTTTTTTTTACCAATCTTAACAAAATGACACAGACAAACAGAAACAAATGTATTCTTTGAATGTGTAATGCATCAAGTTCTTTTTTAAAGGCCATTACATCTTGATTTCCAAGTTCTCTAAATCTGACCGCGCTGCACACCGTTAACACGTTCTTTCCCTCTTCCTCTGTTCAGTGTCGGTGAGCATTTCCAACCTGTACCCGGGCTGTGAGAATGTGAGCGTGCGGAGTCGCAGCATGATGTTCGAGCCCAGCCTGACCAAAGGGGTCCTGGAGGTGTTCTCCCCAGTCCACAACGCTCTGTCCACAGCTGACGACCAAGCTACAAAGGCCATCGACATCCAGTACAGCAACATCCACGGTGAGAACCAGCAGTGGAGGGAGTAAACATTTACAAATATTCCACAATAAGTTAAAGTCCTGCATTGAAAATGTGTAAATATATGTAGTGGTATACAATATTAACCTCTGACATGTAGTGAAGTAAAACATATGCAAATAGGCTGAAGTTCTTAACATTTTTACACGTGTACAGTACTTTTACTCGGTGTATCAAATTTACATTTTAAAAATAAAATAACCTTTGCTTGCTGTATTGACCGAGGTAAGCAGGAGGCCTGCTAAAGTCCCGATGAAAAGTGAACTTTATAAACATGCTGCTCTCGTCTCTTATTTCCCTCTCCGTAGGTGTGGGGGAGTTCAGTGTGTGGGAGTTTTCGGGGAACCCGGTTTATTACTGCTCCTACGACTACTTTGCGGCCAACGACGCCACGGCAATCCACCTGGTCCTGTTCTCTCTGGAGGAGCCGTACGAGACCCAGCTGGGACACATCACCTACTGGCTGAACCTGCTCAAAGCCCTCAGCCTGCCGCAGGACAACATCGGTGAATATCAGGAATCCTTTATTCGTCCAGGGGGAATTACCTTTTTTGTGGATCAAAACTACATTTTAAAATAGATCATATTTATCCTAACATAGATCCACAAATTGCTCTCCACAATTTAGACGCAATATTTGAAACCAGATTCAAGCAGAGGCTAAAAGAAGTTACGCAAGTAGTGCAAAGTGAGCAAAAAAAAATGTAATAAATTGTATTTGCTGATTCTATTTTGTGTTATTAATCTGCAAAGTTCTCACATAAATGTAGTGGGGTTAAAAGTACAATGTTTGCTTCTAAAATGTAGTAATGCTTACGTTCAATCACAAAATGATTCAGTGCAGTACTTGAATGAATGTTTGGCTGCTGAACCTGCTGGCAGCTGTCAGATTGTCTAGTGTTTGGTTCATACAGTTATTGAATAAAATGTGAAATGTTCTTTCTGCAGCTTTCGGAGGTCGGACCCAGCAGCCTCTTGCGGTCGTTCTCGTGGCGACGCACGCCGACCTCGCAGACGTCCCCAGAGCGTTCTCCGGAGAGTTCACCTACGACAAGGAGAAAGCCCTGGTCAAGGAAGTCAGGAACAGGTGGGGGCTCAGACATCAGCACGCAATGCCAATGTACTGTATATACAAAAAACAGCAGTAACCGCACTGCATGCTTACGTTTTTACTTTGAAACGGGGTAACCTTGTAAGCCATTATCTGCTATTTGAAAATGGCCAAGAGACAAATGTAGATTTAATTCGGACCTGCAGAAAGTTTGTCTACAAACTTAGAATTGAGATCAACAAATGCATTTCCCTTTTACAAACAGAAACTGGATTCACAAAGGCCGGATCGAAGGTTGTAAATGTTAGAAAGATATTCACACGTATATCAACTTAATTAATTCACAGATTTTTGTTCGATCTGGGTACATTTGCACAACATTTTTAGTTAAAAAAGAATGTATGCATTTGTGGAAGGTGTTTTACCAAGCGGCAAACACTGGGGAACAGCCGGGACGCAAATACTGAAGTGCAACACACTGCAGTTCATACATGGGCCGCTAGGGACTGACTGCAGAAAGGAGCAATTTCCATAGACCCCCATGTTAAAATGCCCAACTTTACAGCACAAAAAAACATGTTTCTACCCATGGATGCAATAAATATTATTATCGATATAGTTAGATTCCACCTTCATGATTATGAATCTGTGAGTGAATTGTTTTCTAACACGACCCTTTTATTTATATTAGGTCTTAAAGTTTTTGCATAAATTAGGGCGTGGTCACTTTGATGGACATGTGTGCCTCACTGTCAGCTAACAGCAACTTGTCCACTCTGTTGGCTACAACCATAGAGGCTACAACGTTAGTTAGTCATAGTACTGTACTTGACCCTTTAGCTTTAGCCGTGTTCGTGGTGATTGTGCCTTTTAGGGAATATTGTTACAAATACCAGACATCTCAAATGTCGTGCTGTGCGCTTGAATGTACTAACAGAACTTCCAAGAAGTCTAAAATGATAATATTATACATGTTAATCCCATTCGCAGGTGTTTGTGTGCTTGGTAGCTTAGCTTGTTACTTATTAGCCAGCTAAGGACGTAACCCTTTATACATACATATACATTTTAGTTTATGTCGTCCGTGTGTGTCAACTTGAGTTACTATGTTTGTACCCAATTACTAATCTCCATTACTCCAATGGAGAATAAAACAATTTCAAATCGATAAGACAAATGTCAAGACAGTAGTCGATATAAATTAATGCTAAACAATTTTATCACAACAAGAAAACTACACTTTATAATAAATAAATAAATTTATTTTTCGTTACAATTAAAACATTTTGTTACAACAATTCAATTAAATTATTATATACATAAAAACTTAGTTCATAAAGTAGAAATAACAGAAAGTAACAATCAAAGGTAGTACGGATTTTGTTGGAGTTCGATTTTAGATTTCTCACTCCCGCAATTTATTCTCGCAGCAACTCTTTAAACACGTTCCGTATGTCATTAATCAGGCTTATAGCTAATTAGCAAAGTAATATCAGGCTCATCTAATGTCGGGATAACATCATATAGGGTACAATATTTATTTTGCACAATAAGTCGTTGGGAACGCTAAACCCCTAAAATCAAAAAACCAACATCCTGGAGCCACTCGACCGTAAAGTTTTCATCGAGTGGTCAGGTTTTTTCCACACCCGTGGGGACGGTAATCTGATATTTTTCAGAATGGGTTCCCGACCTTAG